ATTACCATTAACATGGAGAATATCCACCAAAGATATATCCACTCTAAGATTAAAATATCATAAGTAGATTACACTTACCATTACATTTATTCCAAAATGAATTACCATTTAATCCATCTCTGTTTCCTTAATAAATTAATTCTGATTCTTTTATTGTTTTTTTTGATTTCTCTTATAAAATAAAAAATAATTTAATCCAATATTCATCTTTTAATAATTTTGGTTTTACTAACTTATCAAATTTTAATTCCAAGAATGCTTACATCATGAATTACTTTGCAGTTTCACTATTAAAATAAAGTGAAGGCGATATAGGAACCATACATTTCAACATCTCCTAATGCATTTTTGAATTTTTAGTATTTTCTAAAACCTCGCTATTTATATTTTTTAATTAATTACTCTATTAGTTAACCTTATCATCAAACTATTGCATCTACTATTTATTTTCATTATTTAATTTATTTAATTTCTACTCTAATTATAGTTGAGCCTTGTTACCTTCATTTATGGATTATGATAAAGATGATAACTATTATTCTTAGTTCTTAAATTTAGATCCATTTTCTTCTTAGATTTGCTACACTTTTTAATTTTATTTTTCAATTTATGAATTTCTGGAAGATATTTCATCATTTATTTTTTATATTAACTCTTGTTTCTATAATTAAGTTTATTTAGTTTGTTAAGTATCTACTTCTCTAATTGTTTCTGTCAACTTTTCGATTTTTTAATCAACTGTTATGAGTTATGTTTCTATATTGTTTTTTAAAGATTATAGTTTATTTTCAACTGTAGTGGATTGTTCTTTCTCTTTTAAGTCTGTCTATACTTCATTAATTTATTAATTCAGCTCATTATATTTTTTTGTTAATTGTTCCAATTTTATTTCGCTTGACTGAGACAAATCCATTAAATTTTACTTTAGTTAATTATTTTAAATTGTTTCTTAATTGCATTATTGAACAAATTCTTATTCTTATTTGAGGAGTTTTTGATTAATATTTTCTTCTAAATCAACAATTTTTTATTAAATTTATTTAATTTCTAATTTTTCCTCATCAATTTTAAGTTTCAATTCTTCTTTTTATTTAGTAATTAATAACAATTATTACTCATTTTCATCAGCATTTATCAATTTCCTCATTTTTTCTGAATTTATTTCATATTATTTATATTATTATTAGAGGAAAGAAGATTTTACATCATCGGTATCATTTTTTACTTCAAATTATATAAACTGCTCAAGCTAACCTTTTTACTCAAGCTATTACACTTCTTTCTATAATTCTATTTGTAAATCAACTGATTCATTATAAATTTATAAGTATTATTCCTACAATTAACATTTAGATATAAACTCATGTATTTCAGGAGTAATTTGAATATCAGCTTTATTTCCTAGGTCTGAATTATCTAAAAATTAAATCAATTAAGTTTACCTTATTAATCTTATAAAATTGTCATCAATTATTACTTGCAAAGTAAATCATGCTTGATAAGGGTTTCTAATTTGGATTTGACATTTTGATAAAATAATTTATCAAGTCTATCTTGCTTCTCCTATTACTATAGAATATGTTTATTTTTATCTTATTAACTTAATAAATCAATCATTTTCTCAACTTATTTTTCATCTAAATCAAAAATCTATTTATTTTCTAATTTAAGGAAGTCTAAAAACTCTTTATTATTTTTAATTAGCTGTTCATCTATTGACGACAACATTTCTGATAATGAATTATTATAATAATCTTTTAGTTATTTAATTTCTTCTATAACCATTTTAAATGTTTTTTCTCTTCTAAAATTATGTTTTGAAATTAAATCTTCTGATTATCCTATAAAAGTATTCCACATATTATTTGCTTCTTTTAAACTAATATATTGAATAGGATTTTCTTGAATACATTCCACACATGCCAATCGACCAAATTTAGGTTCAGTATGATTAACATTCAGCATAATTATTTCTTTATTATGTTTATTGCATATTTAATTAAGACAAGGAGTTTTCTAATATTAAAACAATAAATTACATGTTAATCAAATTCTTTGGCAGGTATTTCATTGATTTTTGCCTATTAATTGATTGGTACACTAGATCTAATTAAATCTATGGATTCCATTATTTAGATATAATTTTATGATTTTGACTGAGATTATAATGATTCATAGATTAATTACACAAGGACCTAGTCTTTTTCCTTATATGTTTGCTGTTTAGGGATATTGTAACTAAAATTTCCTATATAATTTTTTGATAGAATTTGAATTTCCTCATCATAATTTTTGATTTCTAACTTTTATTCCTTTGATTCAATATCTATTTAGATCTATTCCATTTGTTAATCAATTAATTGAAGCAATTTTCCAAGTTCTGTCTTAACTTGATTTTTGAATGATTTTATAGATGATTATAATTATTTTAAATTAGTTAATCTAAGGACATTTTCTTCCTTTGCAAGTTTTAAAGATTAGGTTTTCATGCTTTATATCATCTCTGTAGCTTCATTAAGCAAAGCCATGTTTTCTTTATCGACTCTCTCAGCTAGGCACCTAGTGCATAAATATTTGTCATCAATTCTAGTTTATGATTTCAAATCGACTGCTACAATCTCTAATTTGTGGACTTAACAAATTTTTTTTTCAATTTCTAATGATGTTTGCATAAGATATTTATGTTTATTTAATTAATTATATAAATTAAAAATCAAATATGATATAAAGTGGGAGAAATACATAAATAAATGTAGACATATGTCTTGCCTTTGCCAACAGCAAGAGAACAATAATAACCCGAATAGTTCTGTTTTTTATATGTGACTTGCAAATAGTTCAAAAATTGATTTGATTGAATAAAGTTTCAGATAAAATTTTCAGCTAAAGATATTCTAATCTGGTTATATTATAACTTGAAGCCATAGAGAATGATCCTCGCTTATCCTATTTTATTTTATCAATATTTCAAATTCATCCAAAAAAAATGCTGTTATAATTAAACAAGCCATAGAGAACTGAATTTATTAATCTTTTTCTTTTACATTCATACAATATACAAATGCAATTCTTCAATTTAAGCCCCAAGTATTTATTTGTTTTTAGAAGCCTATCAATCTATGAATATATATATTATATGATAATAGCTATGAATTGATAAACAATATATTTGTTATTTACTATGAAGAATCATTTTGGTAACTTTTTTGAATATAAATGAATCTTAAATTATCAAATTTATTTAATTTGAATTCCATTTTATCTCTTTTTGGTAATCTAAATTTAAGTTTAGCATTTTCATTACTCCTAGCTTTTTTAATCTTCCTTATACGATAAGTATACAAATGAGCTATAAAATCCACTTACACAACTACAGATAGATCATTAGAAAAGTTAGTCTGTATTAAAATATTGAATTGCAAGTCAGAATCTGAAAAAAGCCTTGTTTACTGATCCAATTTCAAAAGTTTATTTACAAAATTTTCAATTTCATCATTCACCTATACTGAAAAGAAATTCAATTTGTTTTTTATATAACTAACAATATAAAGTAATTTGAATTTTAAGATAAAGGTAGTTGAATACTATTTTTGGCTTACTGCAATAATAACTTCTGTAAAATTAGTCTTATAAACTCACTATATTTAATTTATTATGAATGAAGAAAACCAGAAGAAAAAAAATTTTTAATTGATTTTTTATCAAACAACTACTTTGGTTTTTAGTGTTTCTTAAAGAAATTGTATCATAGGAGGAACAGTGAATGATTTTCAAACTAAAAAAAAAGTTGTATCCTTTAATAAGACTACATTAATAATTACTGATTGCTTTTTGGCAACATAATTATTGGCATCCAATTTATTCTTGTTTGCTAGAAGTGTGACTTTAATTTGTTGGTGATATTAAAACAACAACAGTATTTACAATTATTATTTCTATCTTTAATTTTCTAATTTAAGGAAGTCTAAAAATTCTTTATTATTTTTAATTAGCTGTTCATCTATTGACGACAACATTTCTGATAATGAATTATTATAATAATCTCTTAGTTATTTAATTTCTTCTATAACCTATTTAAATGTTTTTTCTCTTCTAAAATTATGTTTAGAAATTAAATCTTCTGATTATCCAATAAAAGTATTCCACATATTATTTGCTTCTTTTAAACTAATATATTGAATAGGATTTTCTTGAATACATTCTACACATGCCAATCGACCAAATTTAGGTTCGGTATGATTAACATTCAGCATAATTATTTCTTTATTATGTTTATTGCATATTTAATTAAGACAAGGAGTTTTCTAAATTAAAACAATAAATTACATGTTAATCAAATTCTTTGACAGGTATTTCATTGATTTTTGCCTATTAATTGATTGGTACACTAGATCTAATTAAATCTATGGATTCCATTATTTAGATATAATGTTATGATTTTGACTGAGATTATAATGATTCATAGATTAATTACACAAGGACCTAGTCTTTTTCCTTATATGTTTGCTGTTTAGGGATATTGTAATTAAAATTTCATTATAAAGAAAAAAGAGTTAAGTAAAGGGAGTTTGTGATTAGATAGAAAAAGGGTTATCTCCAGAGTTTTTCACATAAGATTAAATACCTTCCATATTATGGGTGTCTTGAAAGACTGAAATATAATTAGAAAAAATGTAAGTAATGTGAAGCTTAATGGTCGTTAAGTCATGTTTAAATCCATAGCTCTTTTCTGTTCTAAATCTTTTAAGCCCTCAAGCATATTTGAACAAGAAGAATCAGACTATTAGACTATAATCTATAGATTAAATATCTATTAATAAACACTCGCAATAAATATAAAATCTTCATTCAAGATTGAAGTTATTTGAAGAAAAAATTTCCCAAGAGAGAGTGAAGAAAAGAGTTTGATATATCATTTACTCACAAACAGAAATAAAATAATATAAGCTTCTTTATAATTATTTATTGATATTAAATTAATTAAATTTATTAATGATCTATCAAATTTAATTTTATTTCTTCCCAATACCTTCACTAAATTCTTCACATTTTCTATTCCATAAAAATTGCAAAATATCATCCTCTAAGGGTTACTCATACTTCGCTTGAAAAAAAATTAATAACATTTCAAGCATAAATAATTAAAAACAATCATTTAATTTAATAATCCTTAGAAAAATTATTTACCTCCATTCCCTATTAATATTAACCCTCACTTTTTAAATTCTACCAAAATTGATTGAAGGTGATGAGTTTACTATAGCATAAACCGACAGATCCTTTCAATGTAAAACTCTACATAAATGAGTGATTATTAAAATCACCATTTCTAATCTTTTTATTGATACGAAGAAGGAAAGTTTCCAGTTAAAATTAATAAGGTTCAGATTATATAATCCTGACTCTAAGGATCTTCATCACAGAGACTTCTTTAATTGTCCATCCTTATCTCTCATCATGTTTAATACCTATATATTCAGTTGATACCAACTTAAACTTACTAATATATGTTTTCAATTCAAAAACAGTTTTCTATTTTTCAACTTCTCTTTCCAACAAATGAGTTTAAACTATCAATTTTTTTAAATTTCTATATACAAATTACTATTTACAGTCATTCATAAAGTCAACATACATTTATTTGCTTAGTCTCTGTGTAAGGAATTATTTATTGGCTACAGAGATCATTACTGTCTTATTATGAGATTAATATTCTGGGGTTTTCAGTCAGAAAAATTCTAAATCTAATGTCATTATAATCCAGAAAGTCTATTAAGCATGAAAAATTCCTTTAAACAATATTGGAATAGTCCAATTAATTCATTTCTATATTCTTAGTTATCTAATTCTTCTCCTTATCATCCCTCTATAACTCTAACTCTATCCAGATCAAATAACCTCCTCTCTAATTAATCATTCCTTAGATCAACCAACATCGATTCAAAAACCTTCTAATTCTTCTTTATTATTTTGTTCTTCTTGGTAAGTTTAACGAGTTACAGTTTCTGATCCTATTAAAATTATCACTTTTCTTCTTGAATATCTTGATAATAGAAGGAGAAGCTCTCTCTGGCCTAATCGATTTATATTGTGTACTTGCTTCAGTATTCATTAGGTACTTGGCCAGACCAGGAGAAACAAAAACTGTATCAATATATTATAAGAATAGGTTTCTTTTAGAACTATATGCCATACACTTCTTACTTAATCAACGCTTTATTTTCAAAATCAACCTTCTTCTTTTTCTTGATCTTTTTTACTTTAATCACTTTCAAAGAGAGAGTTGCTTTAGAATATTTCAAATCACATCTTCGAGAGTACTTCTGTATTATTCTGAAATCTAATATCTCGACCAATACATTTAACCAACTCAACCAACTATTATGGATGGCTTAAAAGCTAATTTAATAGGTATCTCTTCTCTACACTGATAATGATAAATGAATATTATCTTAACTATGTTTGATAAGTATGAGAAAATTTTTAGGATATTAATAAAATTAAACATCATTCTCAAATAATATATAAGTATGGATTAATAAAACGACAGTCAATTTAAAAATTTTAAGTAATAATTTTAATTTTTCATTTTTAAATTCTAAAGTATTAAATAATATATGAACTCTAATTATCAAAAGTAATAAAGTTTGAATGTTGATCTTCTAATTATAAATTTTTATTTTCGTGATTATTAATAAAATTTACTTGAATCTTTTAATTAATTAATAATTTTTTATCTATCATAAATGCAGTTTCAGTTAAAAAATTAAATAATTATTTGGAAAATTAAATAGCCTCAACCAAATTCATTATTATTAATTGATAATATATACAAAATATTCTTTTGGTTTGAATTAAACAAAAATCAGAATATATTTACAATTTTTTCTCTTTTATATTAGCAATAATTCTCGATTAATCAATCACTTCTTTTAAGTAGCTCTAAATTTTCAAGTGTATATTTATCAAATTGAATTGAGTCTTCATTGGTTTTGAATTTTTTTTTGTATTGCCAAAATTAGATTCATTACCAAAAAAGTTCTACTTGTACATAATAGCTCAAGATGTGCTTATTGAAAAGAAGAGATATATACATCATTGATTATATTTTATAATTAAAAGCAAATATAATATTTAGAAGTAACTTACTTTTAAATAGGAGTAGTTTTTATAAATTAACAAATTTATAACAAATTCCTTCCAACTTTTTTTCAAATTACTTTTTGCATCTTGGGTGGTATCAAATTTGTGTATTATACCACTATCATCTTGGAAAAGGTCACAAGAGAAATTATTGTTTCCTCAGTTGAGAAGATAATAGAAATTTCTAATTGAATTAAATTTTTAATTTATCCTTCTAAAGCTCTATAAGCAAACTTAAATTTAGTCTTGTTTTTATCTTGGCTTTTAATTCTCTTATACAAAGGCCTTCTTAGTAAATGGAAAGCTTATAATTTAGGGTTTAATTAATTTTTTCTTATTTATTCAAGTTCTATTTATACTTCTCCATATATCAAAAGGTTGATAAATATATGGTTATGAAAGAGAAACCTGGAAGGGAGATCAGTTTTTTAATAATTTATTTTCATTTCTACTGATCTTTTCTCTTTATACTTTCATAACTTAATTACTTCTTCCTGAATTCATATATTTTACCATCCATTATCTATCAAAAATATACCCATTCGGGTTCTCTCTGAATCGAATGCTTCTTCCAATTTAATAGTATAAAAATCTATAAAGCAGTAGTTTAAAGTCAAAAAATCTTAGTATTTAATCAATTGATTTATTATCTCTTGATTTGACTAACTTAAGAATCAATTCAATAGATATCAATACTGTTATTGCCATCTCTCTAAATAGTTTTTAATATAAGGGGAAACAAAATGAAAATAAAAGAACCAAATTAAATTCAAATCTGTAGAATCCCATTCAAATTTTAAGTTGATTATATAAAATGGATATTTTAATATGGTTTCTTTGTTCTTGTTATATTTTCTTGTAGTAGTATGAATACTCCTAAGTTTTTAAAGGGTTTAACTTTTCAAATTCAATTTTTTCTTGTTCAAACTTTTTATCAAATAGATTTTTTTATACTCACCTTAAAGTTGAATTAATCAGCTAGATCTTAGTTCAAGTTGCTAATTGATCAAAAGCCGTTATTACCACATCATCTTCATAAACTAATCTCATTGTGGCTTTTTATCAAACTTAATAGAACAAAGTCTTTTTTTTTTAATTCATCTGATTTGAATATTATTTTTTTTTTTAATTTATCCAGATCTAAAGCAATAATGTGTATATCAAAATAAGGAAAGTAGTTAAAAACGAACTCTATGTACACCATATAGAAGTGAATTTTTCTTTTTTTTGATAGGGTCGTAAATAAATAACTGTTGATATATCCATTCCAGTTCATATAAATAATCAGTAGAGTGGATGACATGCACTTCTTTTATCTTTTAAGTGGTTAAAAGATCTTGACCATAAAGTAAAATCTAATAAAATACCTTTTTACAATCTATTATTTGTGACATGATCATACTAAATATTTGATTTAAATAAAATAATTTAAGTGTGACATGAAAGAAAATTAAGAAGGGCAAAGCTTTTCAGTAAATGGCCTTTTTTAATCTTCGCATGAAGAAAGCCTTGACCCATTTTAAGTAGCAACTCAATACCATCATATGTTTAAGTTACCCCAAAGAGGATAAAAGGATACATTTTCTACAGTGGTACAATCAAATTAATAGTTTCTCTATTGTTAATAGATAATTATAATGTAATAAATTAGTTCTCAAAAGTTGACCACCTTAAGAGGATTCTTTACTATAAATTATTATTTATTTGTCAATTCTCACACTTTCAGATTTTCTTAACTATATAGAACTGCTCTCACTCGTTTTGATAAATGAAAATTTAATAATAGTGAATATAATTTGATATTTGAACAACATTTAAAATAATGTTGATTTGAATAATTTTAAAGCAAACTTCTTGAATAGGGTAAACCTTTGAAAATATGAATAAGGTAAACTGCAATGATGATTGCTTTCCATTAAAAAATAATTAATTAAATTATTTATGGAAATGAAATAGGAAAATTTACTTTGAATCATTATTGTTTTAATTGCGATATGATTTTTTTATCAATTTTTCATGAAATTTATTTATAATTATAATTAAAATCCATTCTATAATTTAAATCTAAATAAGCAAAAAGCATTTAAACAATTAAATCGAATTTTAAATAACACTAATTTTCAAGGAAAAGAAAGCACAACAATTATAATATAGGCTTAATATAG